ATTTGATAGACCACAATTCCTCGCGAAAGAACATCGATTCCTACCAAGGATGATACGTGAGGCTATTGAAATTAAAAAACATCCGAATTTCAATAGAGAAGGAGGCTGGGTACTACCACCTGCTTGGGGTCCTATAATTAATAAAATTAAAACTAAACCCAAGCATACCACTGCAAGACTTCAAAATACAGTTAGTTCATTCTGCGTAGCTCGGACCAAAGACAATAATTAAAAAGCTGAAAGTACTCCGGGTTAACTTTGACATCGGGACGTCAGTCACCTCAGTGCCCCGTGACCATGGGTGCTGGAAAGCACCCGAAACGTCGGGTATTAAAATTAATATAAATAAAACGCGATAAAAATCCGTAAAAGTAGTTTTCATCAATGTATAGTGTTCGCTATAGTAGTTTTCGCTATAGTTAGTTAGTTTTGGAAAATATAAATAAAAATAATTATAAAGGAAAATTGGATAATAAATATAGAACCAGAAAAGTTAGAGAAGGGAAATTATTTCAGCCTAGTGTTAAAAACTAACATGGTAAAAGATGTACAAATTATTTAACACCAAAGCTATTTAATGAAATAGAATGGCTAAGGCAAGTTAGACCTTTGTAAATTCACAATTAAAAAGAAGCTTGGGAAATATTTTTTGGATAAAATGGTAGACGCATGACAATTTGGAAAACTGATACGGAAATGTATATAGCTATATCGTCTGCATATTGGAGGATGTTACAGAATGAGTTAACAGAAAGTTGTAAATCATAAGTATAGATAGAATAGAGCAAAGGGCTATGTACTGAGCCTTGTGGAAGAACCTTCCATACGATTCTTGGTGGAAGTAGGTAATTTTGACTATCAATATAATTGGATCTAGAAGAGAGAAAGTGAGACAAAATTTACTATCCTCACTGGAATACTCAGATTAAGCATTTTTTGCCTGAGCACAGGAAGAAGTACATTGTCATATGCAGACGAGATATCTAGAAAGACTCCAACGAGGAGTTCACGTGGGACGGTAGCTTGAGGGATCAGTGTAAGGCTTACCTGGTTTGTGAAAAGGCAAGATGATTTGGAATTTCCATTCTTCAGGAGGGATACCAGTCATAAAAATATAATTTAAAATAGGAAGAAGATAAGTTTTCGTAGATTCACTGCTATTAGTAATGAAAGAATAAGGAATTCAATCAATCCCTTGTGAAGAATCTTTGAGGGCACCAAGAACAGTATATAACTCCTCATATGAGAAAGGGGAGTCAAAACTGTGTTGATACTACAAGGTCTGTGAATGAAATGTTATACATTCATTATAAGATGGCATTGAAGGGGGAGGGGGATTTCCTAGTAAAATCTTCCAGCCAGTAAGATTGATCATTAGAAGCTGTACTTTCAGAGGCCAAAACCGCACTTCGGAATTTTTTTATATTTTTCGAAAAGATTAATATTCTCCACGAAAGAAGGGAAGACAGGGCAGTGGAACACTGCACTTTTAGGGTTTTGGAGTGGGGATACTCTACGTGTAGGTAAACCATCATTAAGAAGACAAAGATCAAATTCATTGATGATATCTAAAAATGTAGAGGACCAGAGATCAAACAAATCGGAGCCCCATGAAGTATGGTGCATATTAAAATCACCAAGAATGACCAAAGAAGTAGGGATGGAGGATATAATCCTCATGAGTTCTGATAGGATATTTAAACTAGGTTCAGGGATGTAAATAGAGAGAAAAGCAATGTTATGAGCTCTAACTGCCACAGCATTAATTGAAGAACTATGAGAAGGAAGGGAAATCGACGTTTCTTCTTTTTTTTTCTTCTTTTATTGGATGTACACAACAGTTTACATTCAATTTTACGTAACATAAATACCTATTATACACAAAGTTTTGACCTGGAATACAAACCAAAAACGCGTACATACAGTTGCAACATAAATTATCCGTAAACATATTTATGTATTATATTTTACTCAAAAAAAAAAACAATTTATAAATTTAACAAATTTTACGACAATATAGTAAAAGTTTATTACGACCATAAATAATTAATGTGGAGTTGACTTGAAGTAGTGGAATAGTTGAGTACGTAGTTTATTTACATTATTGTCAAAGACATCAATGTCCTTACCTGACTCCGTTAGAACTATATCATTATAAGAGCGACACATTCGTATTAAAGGATTGTAAAATGAAGTATTGTTCTTATAGACGTTTAATATAAACGTATTAAGACGACGCCTGGGATTTGACTTAATATTGAAAGTGATTTGGGATAAAAGATTTGGGGAAACAATTTTGCAGTGTATTAGTTTATGTAAGCAAAGAATATCTTGTATAGCACGTCTATTACGCAGTGATGAAACTCCAAATGTAAGTAGTCTCTCCTGATAAGATGGTAGCTTGCGACTTATTTTCAGCCTATAACTAACTATCTTAAGAGCTTTGTTTTGGATCTGTTCTAGACGCTTGGAGTGCACTTCGTAAAATGGAGACCATACAACAGAATCATACTCAAGAGTACTTCTTATCAAAGCATAGAAGAGATGTATAAATGTGGATGGTTTTTTGAAATGTTTGGTTGTTCTGGTAATAAAACCTAATGTTTTGTATGACTTAGAAATAATGTAATCATAATGATTTCTGAAAGTAAGTTTTTCATCAAAGTAAACACCTAAGTCTTTTGCAACTGAATTACGCTTAAGAATTTGACCTTCAAGTATATAATCGTGATTTATTTTATTGCGTTTGTTGGTAAAAGAAATAACGAAACTTTTTTTATATGTAAGTACATACAGTTTTGTTTGCACCAGTCAGCAATTGTGTTAGCATTATTTTGCAAATCAATACAATCATTAAGGTCATTAATTTTCTTGAACACTTTGAGGTCATCTGCGTATAATAGACAAGGACAGGTTAGTTTTGGGATTAGGTCGTTTATGAAAATAAGAAAAAATAGAGGGCCCAGATGAGATCCTTGTGGTATACCTGATTTAATGATGACGGCAGTTGATTTATACCCATTTACAGTAACTAATTGGCTACGGGTTTCTAAATAAGACTGTATCCATCGGAACAAATTACCATGGATGCCGTACCACTTGAGTTTCTGAGAAAGCAATGCATGATTCACTTTGTCAAAAGCCTTACGAAAATCGGTATATATTGTGTCAACTTGACCACTTACTGCGAAGGCCGAACAAAGATATGCCTTATATTCCAATAGATTTGATATTGTGGACTTTCCCTTGACAAAACCATGCTGTTGCTCAAAGAGAGCTGGTTGTACATGATAATAAATTCGATCATATATTACAGATTCAAACACTTTCGCGATACAAGAAAGAATACTGATCGGTCTATAGTTTTCGCATAACGAATAATCACCTGATTTGTGTATTGGAACAACATGTGCAAGTTTCCACTCTGATGGAAACGACCCTGCTCTTAAAGACTTATTAAAGAGAATTGTCAAGGGTAGACTTAGTTCAGTAGCACATCTTTTGAGGAATGTAGGTGGTATTTGGTCTGGTCCTGCCCCTTTATTAAGATTTAGTTGCTTTAATTTAAGAGTTACATCATGTTTTGACACAGTAAATTCCGATAGCACATTTTCACACATTTTGAGTGATGGCAGTACTGATTGGGTGGAATCTTCGAATACTGAACTAAAGTACTGCGATAGTAAATCGCAAATTCCTGCTGCGTCTGAAGCTCTGGCATTACCAAGCGTTATTGTGCTTGGGATACCTTTTTTAGCTTTTCTGTTATTAACAAACTCCAATAAGCTTTGGTATTCGTTTTGATAGCGTCTTCAGTTACGTTAATAAAAGCAGAATAACATTCCTCCAACAGAGACTTGGATCTAGCACGCAGCATGGAAAATGTATCGTAATCTCGGGGATTACCATACATTTTATACTTTTTATGTAATTTTTTCTTTTCTGCAAGGCACTTTTTAGCGCTGTTGAGAAGATGTCCCCATATTGGGTGAGTGGAGGCTTTTTTTTTAAAGGAACGTATTTAACAATAATTTCGCTAATTACTGAATAAAAGGAATCCACCGCCAAATCAAGTAGATCGTCTGAAAGGAGAGTCCCCCAATCAACACCCTTGATTTCTCTACGTATAGCATCATAGTTACCTTTATCAAAATTAAAACATTTATTATACTTAGGTTTGATATACTTTGGCTTAGACAGTGTGTTAACCGATATTTCAAGTGAAGGGTGATATTTATCGATACGGGATAATGGACTGGTTTCAGAAATTAAAATACTAGTAGAGGAGGACAAAACAAGGTCTAAAGTGCGATCTAATTCATTCCGAACATGATTCATCTGATATAAATTGCATTGAGAAATGTAATCACATAATAATGTAGCCTTAGAGTCTGTTGGACAGCTTGGAGCAAGGTAAGGACTATTACCATTTAGATTAACAGACCATGATAAACTTGGCACATTGAAATCTCCCAGTACTATATTAGTGTCATTTGAGGATATTGTACTTAAATTTTTATGTAAGTTCTCCTAAAAGTACTTAAGTTTATTAGAGGGTAAATCAGGAGGAAGGTAACAGAGACATAGGTTAATGACAGACTTCATTGGACAATCGAGCAAAACCGATATCCACAATTCTTCAATGTCACTCTCCCATTCTTTATGGCGAATTACCTTAAACTCCTTTTTAATAGCTATCAGTACACCTCCACCTTCAGATTTGTTAATACAAGTAGACTCTCGGTCTCTCCGGTATACAATGTAACGACAATCGAACAGCTCATTATCAAATACAGTATGATTTAAGTTTGTTTCAGTTAAACAAATACAATCATAATTGCAATTTAGTATGTTTAAATATAACTCTGTTGTCTTTGATCTTATACGATTTACATTTTGGTAGTAAAATTTCATGTAAAGAACGTTGTTAAGAATCCAAGTAAATGTATCAGTCAATTCAGCTATTACAAATTTTTTAATTCACGTAATCTAAAACAAACTCACTTTACTTTAAGTTTCTCAAAGTTACTAAAGTCTCTAATCAATAATGCTGATTCGTTGTCATTTTTCCGCATGTACACACGTTCGTATTTAACCCAAACAAATTTGTATGAGTTATCTTTCGCAAACTTCCTAGCTTCAGCATAAAGCTTTTTGGTAGTAGAAGAGAGATGTTCATTTACATATATGGCACGATATTCTCCTTCAATCCCAAGGCAGGTAGAGTTTAAGTGATTGGGGTGGTTAGTCCTGTTGTAACGTTTTACTGCCGATAATAAAATGTCCCTCTGCCGCTCAGTTTGTAGTGTAAGGAGAATGTTTCGTGGTCTGTCGGACTTTGGATTAATTTTAGCAATTCTACGAACAGCACAGATGCAGTTCGTATCCAGAGTTACATTCACGGTGTCATAAAGTTTTTGTATAAGATGTAGTAAATTTTCATGACGTTTTTCCGGAACCATTTGGATTTCAACGTTATGGCTTCGTGAGATTTTTTCGACGCTCATTAAACGACGATCTAATGACTCAATATTTGACTTAAGTGTAGTTCGCTCAAGTTCTAGGGTTTTAATTTTATTATTAGCCACCTCAAGTTCCTTCAGAAGGTCATCCTGCCCTTTCTGAAGAAAATCGGTGGCTACTGTGAAATCCGATTCTAACTTATTGATGATATGGTTAAATTCTTTCGTCACCATTGTATGTACTTCTTGCACTACATCTATCTTGAAAGTACTTAGTTTACGATTGAGTAGAGCTTCGATTTGTTCTATGGTAACGGAGTCCGAGTTTTTTTGTCGCAACGCGTGTTGAGATGCACTGTTACTAGATTTTTTCAAGCGTGATGATCGTTGCAGCTTTTCATCACAGGACATATTAGAAATATCTGCCTGACTTGCTTGGAGGGAACGTATGTCGCGCTTACCAACTGGTGGACTATCATTTCTGCGCCGAGTTATATTAGTACAGGATGGGCAATACCACTTCTGCTTTTTTTCCACGTATTCGTCGAAATACACTTGCTTCTCTATGTTGCAACACTCGTAATGAAACGTATTGTCACAACCAGCGCATTTAATGAGGCCGCCATCTTCGATAATGTGTCTACACGCACCACATTCCATGCTCGTAATTGAATCGAATAGTTCGAAACAATGATCAAGACCAAATACTCAAGATGTTAACAAAAGTCGCATACACATTTGTAGCCAATGAACGATAATGCGTAGCCGCAATGCGATAGCGTATCGTAGCAAAGTTCGTAGCACTTTGTAGTCGATCTCCGAAGTGCCCCGAGCGCCAACGCTAACGCACGAGATTCACAGAGGTGAGGAGACGCAACTAGGTACTCCTTAGTCATAAGCGAATCGGCCCGAGCTCCACCGAAATCGACCGAATGCACGTATAACAACGACCCGCACTTGATATTTGTTACTGATGACGGTGAATTAATAATTAACGCCACTAAAATATACACTGAGTTTGTTGTTATGGCTGTTAATATAACAAAATTCTTATTGCACTACCAGACACTATATTTGATGCACTTTAAAATGATATGAGTTTTGTTAGTATCTATTACCTTTTAACACTATTTATGATTATTTAATCACGAACGAAACATAAACGATGTTTACGGTACCGTATCTACGCACGTACTCGTACGTTTAAGTAACTGATCTTGCGATAAGAATGAGAGAGCCTGCTTGACCATCATTCCTATCATCCCTGAGGCATGAATAACCTGAGATCTAAAATGGGACCCAGGCTTTAGCCATGTCTCTGGACGGCTACGATGAGGGGATGGTATTTGTTAATTAGATAGGTTAATTCGATTTTCTTATTTTTAATGCTCCGGCAGCTCCACCGAAGTATTGGAGGAAAGGTTATTTGTTAATGAAATGAGCTGATTAAGATTTTGGTGAAGGGCAAGTGGGAGATCGATATCACTGAAACGGGAAAACATACTTATAAGTATGGAGATCATTAATTTACAGAGATTGTCATTAGGAGAAATACTCCGCACTATTAAAACACAACCATTAGCGGTTGATGAAGAAGAATCTATGATCGCCTCATGTGCAGATTTACCATATCCATAACTTGATGCTGGTTTTGGTGGGAGTCTTACAGTGAATGTAGTCTTCCTGTAAGAATGAAATTGCGAAGGAGCAACTGAAGGTAAAAAGAAATTTGAAATAAGATAGAGACTCTGATAACTATCTGAAGGAAGGGATCTAGCAGTATCTGCATAAGTTTTCCAGTCTTGGGGGAAGCGGGCAGAAGCTTCTAAACAGGAAATATTCTTCTGGGAGATCGCAAGTTTGATGGATTTCTGCCTAGAATGTTCAGGGCAGGAAGGATATTTAGCTATGTGAGATCCTGAACAAAAAAGGCAAGTAGGAGACTGTATTGTACATGATATTCCTTCATGATTTTGAGCACACATAAAACAACGGGATGATGACCTACACTGTGAAGTAACATTTCCAAAACGCCAACATTTGTGGCATTAAATAAGTGGTAAAATGTAGGGCTCAATAGGCATTGAAGTGAAAAAGCAATAAATGTTAGAAGGAAGTTTCTGGCCAGAAAAAGTTAAAACAACTGTTTGAGAGGGAATCCAGACGGACGTTAGTGGGAATTAACGAAATTAATTCCTCTAATATGTCCACTCCACAGGTCCCTGTGGGGACCTGTCTCACTATTTTCATGCGATATAATTTTTTCCTATGATGTCACATTATATGAGGGAATTACAGTATCATATTTAGCACCTGCAAGAGCAGGGTTCTCAATAAAACAATATGCGTCATCTGCACTTTTAAATTCCACTGAGATTCTATTGTTATAAATATCCTGCGTTCTATTGTGTATGTGTATTGAAGTATTTTTTTGGTTTCTAGTTTGGCCATACCGTAATATGTCCGGGTCACAATTACACAATAGTGTAACATGAGGGAGTAATTACATAATAACACCAAAGTATGCAAACCAACAGCAACATAAGCAACATTACCCATATCAATGTAATACAGGGCAACCTCTCAGCAACACGATCTTCTGAATGTCTCGCGCGCGGCACCTACAGTGATTTTGTACTGCACAAACGAGTGGGGGTTTCTCGATATACCCTCAAACCTCAATTCTACTACGCCACCATCGCTATGATACTCCACTAGAGTGATGCAACTTTCCCTCACTCACTATCTGGTATTTCATAGACGCACCAAAGTATATTTCTCGATGGTGTGATGTTTTCAGCAAATATTAAACATGAAAACACTAAATACGAGACAAAATCAAAAAGAACTGTACGAACAATAATGACTAAAGAATACTACACGCTTTAGTTATTGATCTGAGCCTCTTTACAACTGACAACTGGTGAGCGGAAGATTATTAGCCTTCATTCCCTGTAATTATAATAAGAGTTATAATTTTTTTTTTCATAGGTATATGAGCAAATCAAAGAGTTATAGTAACTGTCCTAGAGCAAAGGCAAAATTCATTGACAAAATTCTTTGTTACTCTTTGTCAATTTTTCATCACAACATATATTGTTGTCTATAGTTAATTCGTTCTATGGCTCTATGGTAATATCATATGATCAATTTTTCGTAAACCATCTTTCTTGTTGACTTTGGGACTTTGTGTTACGGATCGATCGTTCTTGTGGGGGAGGCTTATTAAAAATGAAGGGTTGCATTTTCAATATTGACGGGGGTTATTTAGAGGGGCTGTGTCGTGGTTTCAAATGCGGAATTCTGAAACAATCAGATTACCTAAACTTGGTGCAGTGTGAAACTTTGGAAGGTAAGCTTTTGACAATATTACTACTAACTATAAATGTTTTATCTTCCCAACATAAGGCTTCTGTTTTATAAAATATTCGATTTTTTTCAACTGTTACCTATTTTATTGCAAATTTTATTTATTATTTACAGATTTAAAGCTCCATTTACAAGGAACTGATTATGGCACTTTCCTGGCTAATGAACCTAGTCCTTTGGCTGTATCAACTATTGATGACAAACTGCGCGAAAAACTTGTCATTGAATTTCAGCATTTGAGAAATCACTCTGTAGAGCCATTGTCTACTTTTCTGGATTTCATTACTTACAGTTACATGATTGATAACATCATTCTACTGATTACTGGTACTCTGCACCAGAGACCCATTTCTGAATTAATTCCCAAGTGTCATCCTCTTGGGTCTTTTGAACAAATGGAAGCTATTCATGTTGCTGCTACCCCTGCTGAATTATATAATGCTGTCCTGGTGGACACGCCCTTGGCTCCATTCTTTGTTGACTGCATTAGTGAGCAAGACCTTGATGAAATGAACATTGAAATTATTCGTAACACCCTTTACAAGGCTTACTTGGAGGCTTTCTATGAGTTCTGCAAGCAGATTGGTGGAACAACTGCAGATGTTATGTGTGAAATATTAGCTGTAAGTAATTTTTCATGTTTACCTTTAGCTCCTCGAGTATATAAATCTCTTCAATTGTTTGTTGTATGTTAACCTTTCTTTCTAATTAAAGGGAAAATTATATCTCCCACTAGTATTAAAAGATTTGTCCCAGCTATATAAAACTGTTAAAAATTAAGATTATAATTCTAATACTGGAATGTAGTAGTAATATTATTTACCAATATATGTTTATAATCTTCACCTCTTTCTAAAGCCTATCACATGTGGGTCTTTTCTATGCTACCTTAACTAGTTGACAATTGGAATTGTTAAGGTAATAGAGAGTGTGTATTGTTGTATCGATTTCAGTCATAACTTGTTGCACCATTAATTGGGCACATGTCATACATTTCCTGGTTGACTGCTAGAATTTGATAACAATGTTAGAATGTATGGAGTTGACCTATTCTGAAGATATAACCTTTTATTTCTAAGTTTTTACTGGCAGATATAGAATTGTTGAGGAAGACTTTCAATTTACATAAACTTTGAACACTCCATAAACCTTGACCAATCAACCAACTGGACAAGCACAGGTTTGTTTTTATGCTTCGACATTAAGGAGTTTAGTGGCAATTTTTTGAAAGATTGTGTTGGCAATGTGTAAGTAACTGGTACTGTAAAAGTGAGTTGCACTAAACTTGTTTGCATAGCTATAGTAACAAGTTGCATCATGTGCATCCTGCCCAATGGTTCACTACATACATTTATTGAAATCATTGGTGGATTTGGAATTGAAAACTAATTTTATTTTGATGGCCACATGTAAGAATGGCCTTGGAATACTCTGCATATTCTTAAGTGTCATACTGTCATTATATTGCCAACATCACTACTTTAACCTCTCAATCCCTAAGCGGTTGAATTAGACGGCGGCTCTATTCCTTCTCCCAAGCGTTCGGATTCAACCGCGCGCACCCATAGCACTTTAAACCATTAAAACTTATTCTTATATTTAAACTTATATTATATTTAGACTACTTTTCTATGAAGAAGTTTGGCGTTATAGAATCAATATGAAATTTTCTATCCTCTAGTGCAATAAAAAGTCAGTTAGTCTGGATATTTATTTACAATCTACATTCATTACGTACTGACAACCCAGTAAACATCAGGCAGCTTCGTTTACATGGAGGTTAAAGAACAGGAGAACAATCGCCATACAAAATAGTGTCCCAGAAATATGGACACCATAAGTGGGGTGCTGCGATCGCTAAGTTCGCTCAATAAAAGTTATTTTCAGTCTTTTTCTGATCAGATGCTAAACCACTTGCACATCCACGCACAATAAAATATTTCTCCATTTTTTAATGTTTCTTTTTGTCAAAAATTAAAAAATTACAAAGCATGAAAATTTCTCACCATTGACGAGAAAATTTGTACATTATTAAACTAACTTCATCTACTTGTACTCATAAACAGCGAACTTCGCAGCCATTACTCACCGACGGCAGCGCCGCTATAAATTAAAATTTATTAAAAGTGGCCAAACTACTACTTAATTTTGAATGATAATTAAAAATTTTAGTTTCATTTTTTAGTAGTATTTCCGCTTCTGTATCCCTTTCTGCAAAAACATATTTTTAACATCTGTTTCTGCTTCCGGTATGACACTTCTGTCGCACCATTAGTATTTTCGTTCATTTTTATATATATATAATTCTTCTGGACTACTTAGTCAAAACAATTAGGTGCATGAGAACTAAGACATTGGAACTAGGGAGGAGAATACCAAATCACCGGAACACCAAGTTATACATGGATATCGTTCATACTTAGTACATACTAGAGATTTGTATGTAATAATATTATTTTATGTTATTTGTGGGAAGATATTAGGCTCATACTTGAAAGGATAAAATCCTTGAATGATTTCTGTACTTATTCATCAAACCAAGCAAGTCTCACTTATATATGTTAGTTCATTCATGAGATTTCTTTCTTTTTACCAATTTGATGCAAATGAATCAATATTGTGGGTAAACTAATGCCAAACCATGGCATTACTCTTTGGTTGTTTAATAGGGATTGGCTTCCACTATTTAATCTTAATTCATCGTTATTTATCTTAGTGTATGATCTTTCTCATGGTTAATTCTTTAAATTGAAGTTTCCACTATGAAACTGATTAAACCTCAAACACACACTGCCTTTGTTAGTGATATCCTCTGCAAAAGCAGCACAAATATTGCAAGCTGTCTCTGCTTATATAGAAGAAAGTCAATTTTTTTAAATTTAACATAACTTCCTAAAACTCGCTTTCTAAATGGGATACAATGCATCTTTTGGTGTATTCTCTCTTTACATTCATTATTATTATTCACATTAAATAATTCCCAACCCATCCCGGCTTTTTGTGGGCTAGGATCTATTAATTTGCTGTTAATTATTTTTAAGATTATCAAACACTTATTTTAGTAACAAAAAATTCCTCAAGCTTTTAGCAATAAAATTTAGCTTAAATCACTCCTGGCTCTGCTCTCTATAATATGCTTGTAAAATTTTATTACAATCTGTTCAAATTTTTAAAATGATTATTCATGTCTTTATGGCATACAAACAACCCCCCTTAGCCACATAAGGCAGTTTTTTCGATATTACAGATAGATACTTCAATTTTATTTATACGTATAGATAACACAAAGGCAAGTTACTTTAAATCTATAATGTAATGTGCTTTTTGTAGTTTGAAGCTGATCGCCGAGCTATCATCATAACCATAAATTCATTTGGGACAGAACTATCTAAAGATGACCGTGCTAAATTGTATCCCCGATGTGGAAAGTTGAACCCAGATGGGCTTGCTGCACTGGCTAGAGCTGATGACTATGAGCAGGTTAAAGCAGTTGCCGAGTACTATGCTGAATATTCTGCTCTCTTTGAAGGTGCTGGAAACAATGTTGGAGACAAAACTTTGGAAGACAAATTCTTTGAACATGAGGTAAGATAACACTTATTACTTTTTGATCACTGTCTTATTTCAATTATAATGTTTGTTAATTATTGTTACAGGTAAGACTGAATGTTCATGCTTTTTTGCAACAATTCCACTTTGGGGTTTTCTATTCTTACCTCAAGTTGAAAGAACAGGAATGCAGGAATATTGTGTGGATAAGCGAATGTGTGGCCCAGAAACACCGTGCCAAGATTGACAACTACATTCCCATTTTCTAAATATTGAAAGCAAAGCATGAAGCTATTTATTGTCACTCCAAATGTAAATATGTTATTATAAATATTAAAGAATATTGTATTGAGAAAAATATATATAAAAAGTAAAATCACATGTTCACAATCAAATTATCAAGCATTCTATTAACGCTTTAATTACTATACTAAATGAGAAATAAAACTTTAAAGTTGTAGTTTACATAAGTGCATTTTTTAAATGTATTATTATTATAAAATAATTGTCGAATATTAAACTACATGAGAATTATGATTGCTGTTTGTTGAGTACAGTACAATGCCAATAATATAAATGATTATTATTTGTTATATAAAGTAAACAATATAATATGATTAAAAACTTTAAACTTCACATTTATTGCAATTTTAAAGGATCAAAAGCTTATATAGTAATAATATTACTTAAACTTTATATTATGACACTTGTTTACTTACTGACAAAGGTTAAATTGCAGTAACTCTGAAAGTTAAAGGAATTTTATTGATGTTAGCATGTATAGAATGAATAAAATTTGTGTAAAACAATGTTTTTAATGTATACATATACCACTTACAATCTTTTTTAACTTGTCTAAAAAGTTTTGCCAGGTATAGTTGAAATAATAAATCCGCAGCAAAATTGCATTGAAGTATGCACTTACGTACTAGAGTTTAATAGCAAGATTTTATAAATTTTTTTATGTTTCAAAGTTTGTGAAACTACCAAACAAACTAGACCTGTGCTGATCGCGATTGATCGAATCTTTTTGATTCGATCGCAACAACAAAGAAGTGATTGAGTCATGGATCTTCAAAAGATTCGATCTTATTTGTCCCAATTTCAAGGTGACAAGACAAACCAAATTGTACTTTATTTGCATATATTTATATGCATACAATTGATCGAGTCGTGTATTCTATAACATAGCGACGTAACAAACAAAATGTCTTTTATCTCCTTCGTTTACATATAATTCAAACACTTTCATTCACAGCAGTTTTTCTCCAATGCGGCAAATATTGTGGCAGTCGTTCACTTAACAAGTTAGCGCCATTTTCCTCGTTTCGCTCAAACGGTGAACCTTGTAGTTCAACATAAGTAGTTTAAATAATATTAAAAATCAATTAGATCAGGTTAAAGCAATAGTGCCATATTTCAAACATAGCTTATCAGCTGAGAACAGACTGACGGCTATGCAAACTTAAATGGAATTATATCCCCTAAAACTTAAACAGCGTTTTAACTAGGTGGAATTCCACCTATGACATGCTTACAAGATTGCTTAAAATAAAAGATGCAATCGTTAGTACACTAGCCATCGAACAACCACGACTGAACAACCTAACGCCTGGCTGGAAAGTCATTGAAAAATGTCCACTAAATATTTAACGAAGATACCTTAAGTTACTGGCGTCTCCACTATGTACTTAATCCCCGCTAAGCAGAGTTTGAACGTAGGTAGGTAAACTACGATCGTACTTAAGGTACTTATATAATTTAAATAACTATTAATTACAATACTTTACAAATAGGCGACATGCTCATGTAAATAAACGTTTATATTATGCTGGAATGGGATCAAAATAAGTAATTTAAAAGTAAGTTAATTAGGCAAATCATAGTATATTAATAGCATGATTTTAGTCATTACCTGTTCAACATTCGGTAATACAAATAATTCAAAACAAAATGCGACCAAAATGATCGAATCTTTTTAGCCCGATCAGCTTACGAATGGGTCATGATCGACTTGGTCACTATTATACTATACTAAATTATCGATTGACACAGGTCTATAGCAAACTAGTTGTTCCACACCTTTTTCTGCCACCAGGGCAGCATCACTAAAGCCTAAATACATGTAGGGCCGAGCGAAGGCAAGCGCCAACTTATAGACAGCCTTTTGTCCAGCCTCGCTATTGCTCGTCGACGCTCGCTTAGCTGGCCGAGTGCAGGCGGACGCCAACGTGTATACGGTTCGTCTGGTCTGGCGTGCCGTGCCGCCACTCGGGATCGCTCGCTACGATTCGTCCACTTCGGAACAGTGTCGGTGTTTCTGCACAAATCAAAGGCGCGCGCCTGCACTCGGCAAGTCGTGTCCACATGTAATCACATGTTAGTCACCCATGTCAGTTACAGCTTGGCGTCCGTCCCGGTGAGATATTGGTTTAATTAAGTTGAAACTTTAAAATAATTTCGGCAACTTCACTATACTAACGAGGACATCTTTAAGTTTTTTTAACTTTTCTGCGGAGTACACTGACATAACAATTATATGCACTTATTAAATAAATAGCAGAAGCTGCAATAACTTTTACGACGTCCATATCATACTGTTACAAATAGAAACACAGATTGATTATTTAAAAAGATTTTAATGGCCTTCGGCCAAACAAATAATTGCTTACTTAAATAAAACAAGCTAACAAAAATTAAAGATTTGAAATAATGATGCTAAGTATTCGAGCAAAGCTTCCACACTCCGTGATGACCGATGGCAAAAAGGGGCGAGTGACTTTTTTTTTGCGCCCGAAGCAAATATGGGCAACCCTCCGGAAAGCGGGGGAGGGAGGTTGGGAATGCTCATAGCATACCACGCAGCCGGCTGCGTGGTTATGTGGTGACTTTTACCCACTAAACCCAACCTTTTAGGAACTGGCTTAACGATCTGACTAGAGATCTCTAAGCCGTATACGAACGCGACCCTCCTTGGCAGAAAGGAGGGCACAGGGCGAGTGACGGCAGTCGCCTTCCATATATAGTACGCCGCGGCGCTGCCGCTCTTGATTCAGTCCCTCTTCTAAAACAGCCTCTCCTGACGGATTACTGCCTGCCTGCTCGAAGCCATCAGGACTCGTGGATGGGTCAGCAACACTCACCGCGTCTAACGGCTGTTCGGCGTCATCATCGTCGATTTCTGAGAAGATATACACATTCTAAGAGACATATTTATTAATATCGCGTATTAACAGTCTAAATTCTAAATTCATATAGTTCATAAAAGCGTCAGATTATGTATCTATTAGCCAAACAAGTCAACATGAACAGTTAACAACGCTACACAAAAGCGTTTCAAGTCACATAGGTTTTACACAGGTCTGTTCCCACGCAACCTAATATATGTTTTTATTATACTGTGCTAATACCCCGCACATACTCGCGTGTGCAAACAGGATTTGCATCAGTCTCTGGTAGGTCACCCAAGATACCTAATAATGGCTGGATTTACACAGGTCTGTTGTCAGCTGCGCCACCGACTCACCCCAGAAACCACTTGTGTCAGGGTCAACTCAATAGCATGCGCACAGGATTTTCACGGGTCTTTTCCACTGAACACAACACGTAATGTAGGCAAAATCAATAAACACGGGTTTGTTTAGTACATAATCCAGCTCCGAGAATAGGGGGAAAGATTATGCTCTCGGCTGTCACGGCACCACCACGCAAACGAGCGCATCCGCCGCGCCACCTTTGAGGGAGTACGCGCTATCGCAGCACGTGTAATCAAAACGATTTCTCCAGTCTCGTATGAGAACTATATACAAAGCTTACGTCGTTTGGAATCGTTATAAAATAAGTAACAAATTACATACGAATCAGGACAGCTCCCTTCGAAACACATTATCAATTCTATTTTGACATTAGTAATCGACCCCCCTCTACTTCATTACACATAAGTCGTTACAATCACAAAATCAAACCTATATTTATTAAACATATTACTTTACCCACTTAAAGACATAAGTATTTAACATTAATTCATAAAAATAACACACCGAGGTGTGTTATTTTTTCACCCCATAAGCTCTACGATAACATGCCTCACTTAAGCCTTCGATCAATAATTAAGCAATAATTTACGTTTCAGTTGGGCTTACAGTCTTATCACAAACAATGTTTTAACTGTTAGATAAGGCAATATAGCACAATGAATACTTGGGAGCCGATCGAGCTTCAGAAGCCACTTGATCTTGACATAATATGCGCGTTTGTTTACTCCAACATTTCATTCCAGAGGCCTGTTGACAGATGAGGTGTTAATAGGTCTGTAAAATAACAAGATAAATATAACAGCTATCGTACTACTAGTATCTTTAAAAAAATGCAGCACATGTTTAGCGTTCATCGCTCCAATTAAAGATTACTCCTTTTCTAGTTAAAGCGGCGATTTACGCAGTCTTTAGTGCGTAATTAGAAATGTATCTTCGGAAGTATGCTGCGAGATCAAGAAATTGGCGAACTTGTTTGATATTACTCGGTCGCGGTGATTTAACTAACGCATCAATTTTATAACTGCACAGTCTAACCTGACCATCTCTTATAATCCTACCTAGATATTCTATTTTGTTGGTAAGAAAAGTACATTTCTTTAAATTAATTAAAAAACCTGTTTCAGTTAGGGTATTCATAAGTGAATAGGTACCTTGCAATATTCATACTGGACCTCTGGTGTAACGAATGCAGTCTTATGAATCGACTCTTCAGCAACTCTAAGTTGATAGTAACCAGAAACCATATCCAGAGAGCTAAACTAGCGAGCATTACCTAACCTATCTATATAGTCGTTGATCAAGGGAAGAGGATATCTAGTTTTGACGGTTATTCGATTTAGTGCACGATAGTCCACGACCATCCCATCAGAACCATCCTTCTTTTGACTAACAAGATCGGACTAGCGTATTCTTAATCGGACTCGCGAATAATTCCTTTATCGAGCAAACCCTTCACTATAGTGTAGTAGTACCTTTCATTTTTCGTCATGCGATAATTTGTAGGGTCTATAGTACATGGGCACATCGGTTTTTAACTTGATATGCATCTCACTATCTTTCACCGTTGTGGTCGCGCTACCACTTATAAAGAATTTGGAATACTTGGTGAGGAACTCTAGTAATCGTTCCTATTATTTCCAGATACTAACTATTATTAACTTGATTGGACAAAGAAATTAAATTTACATGCATAATATCGTTTATGGTCGCCTCACTATGAATTATACGTTGGC